AATCATTGTGGACTTGGTGGAAGAAGCTCACAAGGGTGTGATCGCCATCCTGGACGAGGCTTGTTTGACGGTGGGGAATGTCACCGATGCCCTCTTTTTGGAGTCCATGAACGCCAGGCTGGGCAAGCACCCCCACTACGCCAGCCGGAAGGTAAAAAGGATGTCATAGTACCACTACCTTGGAGACAGGTCATCCCCGAGGCCTGATCCATGCAGGTATCCATTCATACTACACAACGATAGTGTTATGATTCCATGCCAGCTTCCATGGCAAAATTCTGCATAACCCTGAGATTTGCTATTTAGGAAGGGATGATTAGAACTCTCAACCAGAGAGCTCAGATCAGGAACCCTGAAACTGTCTTAGGACATTATCATACGGGGAGTCACGGGGAGAAAGTAAAAATAAACGGGCACGAGCGGAAGTCTTTAATTTACGGGATTTGTCCCATTCCGCCTCGTCTGATAACTAAATTTGAATTTAAAAGGGGGTTAATTTGAACGCAAACCTGATCTTTTCATTTTTGGGATTTTTGAGGATTTGAAAAGATCGGGTTTTTGTTCGAATTAACCCCCTTTTAAATTCGAATTTAGTTATCAGACGAGGCGGAACGGGACAAATCCCGTAAATTAAAGTCTTCCGCTCGTCCGGTTTATTTCCACTTTCTCCCCGCAACTCCCCGTGTGATAACGTCCTTAGGGTTGTGGGGGGCACCTGCATTAGCAGAGGTTTTCCTAGTGTGAGAACAGGTGCACCTTACAGCTGTGTTTGCTCCTATCTTCCCAGGTCAACCCTACTGACAAGTCCCTGGAGTTTGGACGGGATTTCCGGATCAAGCATTACGCAGGAGACGTCACGTAAGTCTTACCCCGACTGGACGGCTGTGTTTCCCCCACAGTGGCCGGCCTTGCAGGTGCTAGGAGTTTCCTCATTCCCACCCACCTGCCACCTCTCTGCACTTTGCAAACTTTTCATTCTCTGAGTGTAGATCAGGGGTAGGCAACCTAAGGCCCGGGGGCCGGATACGGCCTCCCGGGGCCTTTGGACCGGCCCCAGGCCGGTCCTGCCGCCACCGCCGCCACCACCACCGCCCGCCATGATGATATTGATTATTGTTGTTATTACTTGTTCTTGGGGTTTTCTTGGAAAAATCTCCACAGGGGTTTTGCTATGGCTTTTCTGGGGCTGAGAGAGTGTCCATGCATATTTTTTTTTAAAAAAAAAATTAAATTTTTAATTTTAATTTTAATTTATTTATTTATTTATGGTGCTTCGGCCTCCCCAATTGTCTGAGGGACAGCAACCCGGCCCCCGGCTCAAAAAGGTTGCCTACCCCTGGTGTAGATACTTATGATACCCAAAAGGAGGTATTTTCATGTAAGGAGATCCAAAGATTGACCGGGACAGTGGCATTTATTTTCTTTTATCAGTCAGTAAAACTATCTCCACTTTTCCTCACAACTGGGACTTAAGTTGGTTAAACAGATGCAAATAAAAATCCATAATTGCAGTAGTCCATAGTACCTTGTGGGCACCAGATTATAGAAGGCTGCTCCCAGGTCAAGAGAGCCAGCTTGGTTTAGTGACCCGGGCATTGGATTATGACTCTGGAGATGAGGGTTCAAATTCTCACTCTGCCATGGAAACCCACTGGGCAAGTCACACTCTCTCAGCCTCAAGAGGAGGGCAAAGGTAAACCCGCTCTGAACAAACCTTGCCACGAAAACCCCATGATAGGTTTGCCTTAAGGTCACCATAGGTCAGAATCAACTTGGAGGTCATGTAACAACAAATCCCAGGTCATAGAGTCTTTATAGCAGGAGTAGGCAACCTTTTTGAGCTGGGGGCCGGGTTGCTGTCCCTCAGACAATTGGGGGGCCGAAGCACCAAAAATAAATAAATAAATAAATATTTTAAAAATAATAATAATAATAAAAAAATTTTAAAAATATGCATGCACACTCTCTCAGCCCCAGAAAAGCCATGGCAAAACCCCTGTGGAGATTTTGCCAAGAAAATCCCAAGAACAAGTAATAACAATAATCAATATCATCATGGCAGGCGGCGGCAGGACTGGCCTGGGGCCGGTCCAAAGGCCTCAGGAGGCCGCATCCGGCCCCCGGGCCTTAGGTTGCCTACCCCTGCTTTATAGAGTTGGAAGAAACCACAAGGCTCATCCAGTCCAACCCCATATTCTGCCATGCAGGAACTCACAATCAAAGCACCCTGACAGATGGCTATCCAGCCTCTGTTTAAAAACCTCCAAAGAAGGAGGCTCTGCCACTCTCTGATGGAGTGAGTTCCACTGTCAAATAGCTCTTACTGTCAAGAATTGCCTCCTAATGTTGATCTGGAATCTCTTTTCCTGGAGCTTGCATCCATTGAGGCTCCATTGTGTCCTATTCTCTGGAGCAGCAGAAAACAAGCTTCCTCCATCCTCAGTATGACACACCTTCAAGTACTTAAACAGGGTCATGTCTATAGATGTTTCTAGCCCAACTTCATCCTGGCCTTGCTCTCGCATCCAGGACCAACTGGAAGGACTGAACCTGGGACCTTCTGTGTTGCAAATCAATAGCCACACTGGCTTAGGGAGGATTTCCAATTTTATTTTTTATAATTTTTAAATTTTTTTAAAAAAAAAATTTAATTTTTTTTAATTATTATAAATTTTATAATTTCCAATTTGGAAGCTGTCAAAAGAAATAGGCAGTTTTCAGTGTGGCAGGTAGTTAGTTTCGTGGGTGTTTGTGTTTCAGGGATGTAATACGAACTGGGTGAGCAAAACCACGGTGCATCTTGGCAAGGGTTTTAAAAACGAATCTGTGTTTCAGGTATTCTGTGGAAGGGTTTTTGGACAAGAACAAGGATACCCTCTTCCAGGACTTCAAGCGGCTGATGTATAACAGGTAGGTAGGTGGTTTTCAGCCAAGGGGATGTAATGGACCCTTAATATGGCGCAGGTGTGTTTGAATGACAATTGTGGCTGATACTTCATGCATAAGGTTTAATGGCATCCCCAGGAGCTGTCTCTATGGATGTTATCACACTTGGGCCAGAAAGCGATAAGAGAGTGGAAATGAGGCATTCCGAAAATAAATGGGAAATAAACCTTAATTCCGCAAACGTCATTACCTTAATTGCGAAATTACAGTAAGCGCATTTAACGTTCACACACAAGTGAGAAAAGCCCATAAATGTACTAGAAATGATCTTCTTGCACATGCGCAGATAGAGGAATGCTCTCTGTGGAACCATGGGAAAAGCGGGGAAATGCTCCCAAATGCGCATTTGCTTTTCACATTACGGTAAATGCGAAATTACCTTAATTCCGCCTTTGCATTTCCTCCAAACAACCGAATTTCAAAAGATCTCGGATAACACCAGTTTCTGTCCACTTTCTGTCCAGTTTCTGTGCGACGTCGTGTGAAAACGCGAGGCACAAATCCAGTTTTTGTTTGGGATTTGTGTGGATTAACCAGCAGATTTGCCCCCGTGTGATAACGTCCTAGGTCTCAGACTTTGGCCTGGAAACCTCAAGTCCTGGGGTGATCCTGAACCGGCAGTTTTCTTTTAACTCCCTCCCTCTCTTTCAGCGCAGACCCCGTCCTCCAGGAGATGTGGCCGGAGGGCAAGCAGAGCATCAATGAGGTGACCAAGCGGCCACTGACCGCTGCCAGCCTCTTCAAGAACTCTATTGTCGCTCTGGTGGAAAACCTGGCCTCCAAGGTAGCGAGTTCGAGTTCGACACACAGCAGTAGTGGTGTCTGAGCTCCGGGCGGGTGGCTGTGGGAGGCTAGGGGGGCACATTAGCCCTCAGGTGACTTTTGAGGGTCTCAGCCCTCTAAGAAGAAAAAGGTTTGACTCAAAATGCCCACAAACGTCCTTAAGCAGATGTTGGAGGTGAGTGGGCCATTTATGCCCAGGAGAACCTTTTTTTAAGCAACAGGAAGTGATCGGAAATTCTATTTTTTTTTTTTAAATTTAATTTATTAAACACACATAAATATCTTACAAAACATTTGTTGAATAATGACAAATGACAAACAATCTGGAGATTAAAAGATTGAACGAAAAAAAAAGAAGAGTGAAAGAAAAAAGAAAAAGAGAAAAGAAAAAAAGAAGGAAAAAAAAAGAAAAAAAGAAAAGAGAAAAATAAATAAATAAACAAATAAAAGAGCACAAACAAATTAACAGTTAAAAAGACTTCCTAAGCAGATGACAGTGGGATTATCAACATTACCTCTTAATATAATAGCCTTTTAATGTCATTAATCGTCTCATATCTCAGACTTGAGTTACGGTTATCAGGCTTATTTTTCTTCATTTTCTCTATTATGGGATCTATCTTCCATCCCTGATATATACTCAAAACATACAATAACCATTTTAACTATATTTTCCGTTTTCTACATTGTACCAATAGATAATTTTTTAATAGATAATTTTTCCTAACTTAAGTAGCGTTACCTTATTATTTAGCCAAATCTCAAAATTCCAATATTTATTTTAAAAAGGCTGTAACATCTCTCTTTATACTTAGATTAATACTTAATACTTTATATAAAATGTGGAAATTCTTAATTACATTTGTCATCTTGATCACACTCTGATGTCGCTTGGCCACACAAGCCCTGGTTTTTGTCTTACGAAATGTTGCAGGGTATGCATTTGTGGAATCTTCAAAAAGGGTTGGTTTTTAAAGTAATTAATTCCTTTTGGTCATTAATCCATTGTTATAATTGCGTGCAATTTTGAGAAATGTTCATTAGATTATCAGTGGCATTTCTGATGCTTCCTGTTCTTGCTTTGGAAGAGAGAAAAAAAACCCTCAGAATTAATGGGGCACTGTCCTATAACATAATAAATAAATATAAATAAATAAAATAAAATAAATAAAATAAACAGTGGCATGACAAGGGAGAATGGCCTCTTCGAAGATCTAGCTTTGGCCATATTGGGGGGGGTGCTGGTGATGAGGGATTTTGCAGATTTTAGAGCCAATGTGGCATAGTGGCTTGAGTTTTGGATTAGGACTCTGGGAGTCCAGGGTTCAAATCCCTGCACAGACTTGGAAAACCACTGTATGATATTGGCACAAATCAGAGGAAGTCAATAGCAAAACTCCCCTGAAGAAATCTTGAAAGAGAATGCGGTATAACGCTTTAAATGTTGGACTAGGGGTATAGCCGCAATGGAGAAACAAAAGCAATTTGACATCATTTTAATTGTCATCACTCTATCCTACAGAATCCTGGGATTTGTAGTTTGGTGAGGTATTCAGCCTGGTTTGTCAGAGAGCTCTGGTGCCTCACCATGCTACAAATCCCAGGATTACGTAGGGTAAAGTCACGGAAGTTAAAGTGGTGTCAAACTGCTTGACTTTCGCAGTGTGGCTAAACCCTAGGACTCCGGGAGTTGTTGTTGTTGTTGTTGTTGTTGTTGTTGTTGTTGTTGTTGTGTGCCTTCAAGTAGTTTCCCATTTATGGCAACCTACGAAGAAGATTTCTTGGCAACATTTGTTCAGAGGGGCTTTGCCTTTGCCATCCTCTGAGGCTGAGAGAGTGTGACTTGCAACAACAGCAACATAACTTTTCCATGGTTTAGGTGGGGATGGGGAGAAAGTGAGTGTAGGAACAGACGATGAAGAGACCATTGCTTTGCTCTTCAAGAATGATGACTTTTTTTTGTATTATTTTTATTAAATTTACTAAATTTACAAGCATACAAAAACTAAAGCAAATATTTTCTGCAAAATTAGTATACATCTTAATCGCATACTTTTTACATTACGTATCCAAGAAAAAAACAAGAGTTGTCATATCAGATAATTAGATTTTTATACAAAACCAAGAAAAAGAAAAGTGAAATTATAAATGTATAGAAATGTCTTTATATCGATATTCCAAACTATAACTATTTATATTTATATAATTAATTCCAAAAAGAAATAGATTTATTTATTGCTATTTATGAAGATTCCAATCACAATTATAGAGGTATTTTCATTACTTTATTACTGTTTTTCTCCTTTAGATATCCCTTCCCATTTCTTTTTATAATCTTGATCCGATCTAAGAATGATGACTTTTGTGAAGATCAAAACTTTTATCTCCGTATGTTCCCTGACTCTGCGTATTTCTGTTTTTGAGTTGATTGCGGCTGGTTGCGTTTTTTAACATAATGGGTTGCAATTCCGTAGTTCATTGTTGTATCGTATTACTTTGCACGGTCAACTTCCTTTTTTATTTTATTTTTTGCAAGAGGAACTTTTGCACGAAAGGGTTGATCAAAGGAAACTTTCCAGTTCAAAGGGCTGGTTGTAAT